TTGTAGTAGAGACCAGCCTAAAACCCAGGTCTTTGCTCTCCCAGTGCTATGGTTTTTCTGCCACAAAATGTTATATTAAATCAAAGCATTTTGTCTTCTATGGATTTTTTCCCCCAACTGGAACATAAACACCTAACAGGGCAGGGTAGGAGTGATGTCCTAGATTTTTCACATGCCCTGAGCCCAGCATGGTATCTTATGTGTGACAAACATACAACTACTGGTTAACCAATCACTGAGTTAAGAAAGCTTTTTGTACCGTGAGATTTTTCTTTTTATGCTTGCAAGATGATGTGTTACTCTCAGGGTTTTTACTATTGGAAAAGTATAGGAGTATAGATATATAGCTGTTGTTAGCAACTGTAATCATTTCCTGTAAATGTCAGTCTTTTTGTCTTAGTCAAGGAACAACTTTTATTAAGTAGCCATGGTATGAAGACACTGTGGGGATTTCTGAAGCAATAAGCCTGTCTCTGCCCTTGAAAAAGTTATTAACCTCCATCAACACATGGCCTTCTCCCCGTGAGCCTATGTCTTCACATGCTGTTTTCCTCTTCTTAGAAGGACACCAGTTATAATGGGTTCTGGTCCATCTTAGTGATCTCAACTTAACTTGGTTATCAGCCAAGACTCTATTTCCTCAAATAAAGTTACAGGTACTGAGGATTAGGACCTTACCATGTCCTTTGGGGGATACAATTCAAGCCATAAAAGATGTATAAGTGACATTTTTAAGAAGTGTTAGAAACTTCACCTTGGTGGGTGGTGAAGGAAGAGACTCTCTTCGGCAAGATCAATTTATGACTTGCTTTTGAGACTCATAAGGTTAGAAGGATATTAGAACTCTGGCTGCCATCACCACTTTGAGAACCATCAAAGTCCAAGAGATATAAATAAACAGGCCCAGCCTAGTAGAGAAAAATATGAGGCAACACCTGTAAACATCTAGAATCACTAAATATTTAAGATGATAATAACAAAACCCCCTCCCCCCTCACTGTTCTGTGTCCTCCCTCCCCTAAAATGTCTGCTTACTCTTCTCACCTCTCCTTTCCCCCCACCATGACAGCCTCCCAGAAATGACCTGGGATCACAGGAATTCCCCTTCCTTCCTCTTACTGCTATTGCTTGAAATTATTGTAGCCGCTTTCCTATGGACCCAACCAGCTGGGGAAGCAGAAAGTTGGTGACAGTAGAAACAGCCCTGTTCCAGTCAGAGCCAAACTTGATCACATGCAAAGTGAGATTACCAAGAGGTAGTTATAGTGGTGGTGATCCAGAAAAACAGAAAGTTAATGTCAACTTCTCACTTGGCTTCTAAGCTTTCTATCTCATCTCCCTGGAGCCACAAGTTATATCTTTTCTGTATGCATTTCCAGTGAACCTTGAACAGAACTTATCTCTACTTCGATCACTGCATATCGAATTGCGCCAATCCTCTTGAACCTTGAGCTTCAACAGCCTGGGGAGGGAAAGGAAGGAAGACATCCCTGATAAAGGCTTTTAGGGAGGGTTACTGACACAGAGGGTGGATTCAAACCAGCACAGATGTGGGGCAGGAGAACTTGGCCCTGAGCAGTCTGGGGCTGGGAGAAGGTGGCAGAGACCTATAGAGCCCAAATTAGATGTTAAAGGCCAAAATCATAGAGAGTGGCCGAAGCATTAATTGTTAATTTATGTCTTCTTGTCATCCCCCAAGCCCCATTCCACTGCAAATTCCTGGAGGAGAGTTTTGTCTTGTTGACTCCCTGCACCCATCCTCCCACCTGGCACACAATATATCCTAACCTCTTCAAATATCTTTCCTTTCCTCCAGTTAGCAAAGTTGTTTCCAATTTCTGAACCTCAGTGCAAACTAAGAGCATTGGATTTGGAACACTTTATTTTTTGAAATGATGGGCTCTTTCTCATCCTTCAGTTCCTAGCTTAAATGTTATCTCCTTGAAGAGTTTTACCACTGTTTAAATTACGCGCACACACACACACACACACACACACACACACACACTCGTCTCTATCATAGCACCCTGCTGGTTTTCTTCACAGGCTATACAACAATTTGTATTGGTTTGTTTCTTGCATACTTGACTCCATTCTAGGAAGAGGAAATTTGAATCTATCTTATTCATTGTTGTAGTCCTAGCAGTTAGCACATCCAAGGCACTCAACAGGTAAAGGTTAAAGAACAAAAGAACCAATATATGCAATCAGAATTTAATAAACCCATGAGAATTTAGTACTCTGTTGCATGGGAATTAGTGCAAATAAAGATGGATTCTTGGACCAGATGAGGAAAGACGAATTATTTACTAACTATCTTAGGATCTATGGAATAACCAAAACTAAAGCTGAAACCATTGCTTCCTTATTCTACATCAAATCAATTCCAAATGGATCGAAGAGCTATGCCTTTAAAAGTGAAGCCATTGTGGGGCACCTGGGTGGCTCAGTCCATCCAACATCAACTCTTGTTCTCAGGGCTCTTGATCTCAGGTTTGTGAGTTTAAGCCTTGCACAGTGCTCCAGGCTGAGCATAGAGTCCACTTTAAAAAATAAAAAAATAATAAAAAATATGTAAATAAAAAAGAAGCCATTAAAAAACCTGAAGAAAATGTACAAGAAGTCTTAATCATCTTAATACAGAGATGGGGTTTTTTTGTTTTGTTTTAAAGATTTTATTTATTTGACAGACAGAGATCACAAGTAGGTAGAGAGGCAGGCAGAGAGAGGGAGGAAAGCAGGCTCCCTGCTGATCAGAGAGCCCGATTCAGGGCTCGATCCTAGGACCCTGGGATCATGATCTGAGCGGAAGGCAGAGGCTTTAACCCACTGAGCCACCCAGTTGTCCCCAGAGATGTTTTTCTAAGCAAGCTAATATATCCATAAAAACTGACACTTTCTGTACTCACACATATGTGCTCAGAACACACTCAAACAGAAGCTAAAGACAAACAACAAATTGGGGGGAAATAGTTGTTACATTTGACAAAGGCTTAGATCTTATTATAAAGTGTTGTTACAAATAAACAATGAAGAGACTAATAACTCAAATTAAAAATAAAGGACATAAGCAGACCCCAGAAAGACTCATGCAAATGACCTTTAAGGATGTGATATATAGTTTTAAGAATAACAAAGGAAAGAAATGTAAATTAAACATTGAGATAACCATTTTTCATCTTTGAAATTGACAGAAATGAAAAACCCTCATAGTATTTATCATGGCCAGTATGTAGAAAAAAATGAGCCCTGGCTATTATTGTAGGGGGTTATACATTCCACCTTTTTAAAGCCAGGCTCAGAAAAAAATAAATAAATAGGAAAAGAAATTCAGGCTCATGGGTCAGCTGGACTTGGACTTGTTCAGCATTTCGATGTCTGTGCAGAGAACAACTGGGCAAGATCGATCAGATTTTTTTTTTAAGATTTTATTCCTTTATTTGAGAGAGAGAGAGAGTGAACGTGCATGAGCAAGGGGAGAGACAGAGGGAGAGGGAGAAGCAGGCTCCCTGCTCAGCAGGGAGCCTGACCTGGGGCTCCATCTCAGAGTCCTGGGATTATGACCTGAGCAAAACCTAACCGACTGAGCCACCCAGGTGCAGCTATCAGACTTTTAAATGCATATATTCTTTTTTAAAGTTTTTTAAATTTAAATTCAATTAATAAACTTGTAATGTATTATTTGTACATTACATTGTACATTACATACATTGTACAGGACTATGATTCATCAGTCTTACATAACACCCATGCTCTTTACAACACATACCATATACTCTTTGATCAGCAATTACATCCTGAGACTTTTATTTTGCAGATAAACATGCACACACAGGCAAAGATGTATAAATGAAGATAGTCCCACAAAAGCCAAAAAAAAAAAACAAAACCCCAAAACAAAACCCTAAATGACCTTGAACAGTGGACTGATGATATAAGGTTTGGTTCATACTCATAGCAGACTACTATGTGGCCACTGGAAAAGAAATGTACCAGTGTCATATACCTCTTTACTATATGAAGCATAAAAGCATAGGAAGTATTGCACAAACCCATTTGTTGACAATAAAACAAAACAAAACAAGAAAACAAACAAAAAATGCAGGCCAGAGAAAGAAGGGAAGGAGGGAGGGAAGGGAGAGAAAGAAGGAAGGAAGGAAGGAAGAAAGGAAGGAAGAAAAAGAGATAAACAGAGCCAGATAAGTAGAGACAGGCAGACATGGCTCTCTATGCAAACCATCAAAAACCACTGGGAGCCGGGGGCCTGGGTGGCTCAGTTGGTTAAGCAACTACCTTCAACTCAGGTCATGATCCCGGAGTCCTGGCATTGAGTCCCGCATCTCGCTCCCAACTCCCTGGTGAGTCTGCTGCTCCTGACCTTCTCTGCTCTCATGCTCTCTCACTCTCTCTCTCCCTCAAATAAATAAATAAAATCTTAAAACAAAAACAAAAACAACACTGGGAGAAGGGCCTGGGAGGTCAGTAGGCTTACTTTCCACAGTACCCTTTTGCACTATTAGCGAAACACTACCAACTACACATATTACTTTTTCAATTTAAAAACTAGCTAGATTATAAATATGATGTTGACATCACTCAAAGTCACCTTCAGAAGGATTCTGTGTAATAGTGATAGTGATGTTAGTAAAACATCATTTTCAGTCTTGTTTAGTGAATGCCTTTATTACTACAAGGTATAAATTTTTAAATAAATACCTAAAATAAAAAAAATAGCTACTCAGTAATCCAGAAGTGAGACAGGTTTAGTTGAGAATAAACTATTCACCTTAAAAAGCCTATACTTGATGTATTAACAAATACTTTGTTTTGAAAAGAAGGCCTAGAAAGCCAGCTTGGGAGGGTTCAGCTCCTTTGTAGCTATCACCACTCCCTACCCATCCCCAACGATGTATTCAAATTCCGTGCCAAGAGTTACTTATTAAACTCAAGAGCTATACCGAAACTATTATAAACTTGGCCTGTATGATTTCATTTCTTAATGAAATACAGAACAACTGTGTTAGAAAAACGAAAATGGGCAATCGTCATGTAAGTATTTATTGCCTTTGGGAGTCAAAAAAGTTTTCGTTGTAGTTAGCATGTGGAGAAGTTTAAACTGTGAAATCATGATTGATACTTTTATACTTGATCATTGTGTTACTCCTTATTGTATGATGGTTTTCACAACAGCGTACCATGCTTTTAAAATGCACTTACAATATACTTTCTCTCTGTTAGTCAAAAATCTTTTAGGAGGGGCTAAAGAGAAGTATTTAAAATGAGACAGTAAACAGTACCCAGCACAGGGCAAATGGTTAATACGGATTTGTGGACTGTATGACTAAAGCTGTTAGTTGTGGCAAAGTCACACAAAATCTCGTAGCTATGCCCACCTAGCATATGTGGGGGAAGACAGGTGGGGAAGACAGGTTCATGTTGTAAACAGCCAGAGGCCAAGGTAAAAGTATCCCTACAAGGCTGTATATAATGTGGGCTGAAAGGTAAACATGTTCTAGTATTCTAAAAAGCATCAAACATTTGGATATTTGCAGATATCCAGGGAATAGACTTAATCTTTGGGGTTTGAGGTTTTTTCCTGAAATGTCTAGGCCCATGTGGAATACTGTGTCTATAAACTATGAATGACTAAAAACTGACTAGAATACTACCATTTGGAACCAACGAGGCACAAGGCAGGGCAGATTGAAATCTTAATTTTTGAGAGGGAAGGAGGTGATGGACATTGGGGAGGGTATGGGCTATGGTGAGCGCTGTGAAATGTGTAAGCCTGATGATTCACAGACCTGTACCCCTGGGGCTAATAATACATTATATGTTAATAAAAATAATTTAAAGGAAAAAAAAAGAAATAAAAGGAAATAAATTTGTTGACTTGCAGTGGAAGTCTAGGGAACAGTTTAACCAGGATACTTTGGTGGAAGTTTATCAGAAATAAATAAATAAATAAATTGTGCTATATTTAAGGATAAAAAAAAACCTTGATTTTTTTTTTTAATATTGAAAAATATGTGTCTAAAGCTGTTGCAGTAATCATTTTAATACGGTCTGGCTGCACCTACTCTAGCTCTCCATGGCAAGAATGACTTATTCTATGTAAACTAGGACCAAAGAGAATGAAACTCCAGAATGTTCTGTAAACTTTAACTTTGTTTATAAGCTTTTTTTCCCTTTGCTACAAATTAAACCTGCACTTAGTGGTTGCAAGCCTACAAATAACTTCTTCAGGGAGTGTCATATTTCAAACCTTTTGTAGATAACATTTCTTTTTTTCTTTTTTCTTGTTTTGCTAGCCAAGAGCCTGCCATTCGGTATCTTTCAGAGATACTAAAACCTATTTTTAAGATACTTCTGATAGCTGCAGAGGGTTCCTGCCATAGCAGTTTAGGAAGACATTTTTATCTTTGGAGTGTCATCCCCATGGGGCAGCTGGCTTGTGTGAGTGGTCTAGCATTTTTATGTATTTCTTTTTTGAATCCTCAGAGCCAGTCTTACTCCCTCTCAGAAGGCAGTCACCAGTTGCCCAGAGGGGACAGCCAACCCTCAGCAGCCGTGCAGCCTCTCAGCCACCCATCAGGGCATGGACAGCCAGAGGCCCAACAGCCTGTAAGCACTTGATTTTTCCTCCAGATCATAGGCATGACTGGGCTCTCTCATGGTCCCAGTATTTACGCACCAATGACTTGTCCCATCGGACCCTCCACCATCCTCCAGCCTGCAGATGTCATCAGCAGGCACAGCTCCCAAGCAGGGGAATCTTTCCCTGGAAAATGTCTGTTACAATGTTTGCAGCTACAGTAGAAAGGTGGTCTAGGAGCTCTGCTTCTGTTCCCAGCAGTATCCCCTTAATCATGCCTTACGGTGGAGAGCGTGATGCTACAGATGGCCACTAGGATATTTTAGAAAATGCGAATGGAATTTAACATAGCACAAGGAATGAATATGTTCTAAGACTGTGTTTCTACATAAGTAAATGCAAAATCTTCTTAAAAGAACAAAAAATCATCTTGGTAATGATTTCAGTTATTTACATTAGAAAGCAACTTGAATATGTACAAACTTCGACCTCTAATGTTTCTGGTTTTGAAGCTTGTTTTGCACAACCAAAACAAATATATAAAACTAAATACTAGTAGAATCCGAGTTGAGAAGGTGCAAATGCATGCCATTGATTTAGCATAATAGATAATATTATCTTGCTGGGATTAAATGGCCACAGTCAGTGTAAAAAATGGCCCTGATGGCTATCATGTGGTTTCTTTTGCATTACAGCGTGTCTAAAATAGGATGTGATGTGTGACTTTTTAATTCTACTGTAATGTTTCTCTATCCAAAACTGAGAAGCTTATGTTTGTAAGACTCCCTAAAAACAATCGGGACTTCTCTTGGCTAACATGCATGATTTTTATATTAAACCTACCTCTCTCTGTTCTCTAATCTTTCATCACTGGCTTGCAACAATTAAACTACGGCTATCTGGCATATATACAATCATAAATAGAAACACAAATGTAAGTGTTGAAATCGTGTGCTTGCTCTTGGTCATCCTGATCATTTAATATGCTTTACGTTAGTTTTTAAGTTATTACCAGCTAGCAATAAACACAGATTTTATTTTTTTAAATAAAGTCTTTTTTTTTTTAATCTTAACTTATTTATCTGACACACAAAGAGATCACAAGTAGGCAGAGAGGCAGGCAGAGTTGGGGTGTGGAGAGCAGGTTCCCTGCTGAGCAAAAAGCCCAATGCGGGGCTCGATCCCAGGACTCTGAGATCACAACCTGAGCCGAAGGTGGAGGCTTAACCCACTGAGCCACCCAGGCGCCCCTAAACATGGATCTTAAAAGCCTACTAGGAAAGTTAAGAATTCCCAAGGATATGTCCATGGACTGGGATCCACAATTTCTTGACAGATAGTACTCCAAAGCCAGTTGGATATTGGTCAGGAAACTACATTTTCCAAGGAACTGTGATATAGAGGCTTTCCTAGCCAATTCGGAAAACTGGAAATTACTTTTTTATTTTGTGCTTTCCCCCAGTCCTATTGCTATTATTAATAGTTTCCTTCAACTGAAGACATAGTGCTTATGACTAACCTATTTGGAGCAGTATTAACCCAGATAAGGGGTTCCTATCATTTGCTAAATCACACAATGTTCAGAGTTTGCTTAGCCTAGAGGACGTGTCCTTGTGCTGAATGAGCTTTGTGCATCAACAGAAAAATACGATTTTCATATTTTTGGAAGATTCTGGAAAATCGTATTATTTAAAAATAAGGTTTTCCACAGGAAAATCTGCTTTGGTTTAGTGAAATGGCGGCTCTGTTCTCTTGCATGGGTTGTTTTCAGGAGAATCGCTTTCTGGAGGAAAATCCAGAATTGAGATCAATAGTGAAATCTCTTTGCCGTTAGGGTATGGTTACAAAGAGTATGGGCAGAGCAATAGGGAGAAAGCAAGATTCAGGGGAGCCGTGGACAAATGTTGAAATAATCACAAACTCAAGAGGACTTTTGGTTTCTGGAAAATCATTTGTAAGGCTGATAAACAGGCACTAGGAATAACTTGCCTGGCCCTTCAAATTGTGGTTTCTGGAATAGAGACAGCATCTGTATTACCTGGGTGTTTGTTAGAAATGCAGAATCCCAGGCCCATGAAGGATCTGCATTTTAGCAAGATCCTGCAGGGATTCTTAGCGTAGGACGGTCTGAGAAGCAACTAGGGAACAAGTTCTCACACTTGGCTGTACATCGGAATCACCTGCGGAGTTTTAAAAACCACTGAAGCCAGAAAGTTTGAATTAACTGGTCTGGTGGTTGGCCTGGGCACTGGGATTTGCAGATGTTCCCCAGGTGGTGCTAAATGTGAAGTTGAGTTTGAGAAACGCTGAACTGGAGCACAACACTCTTCTTCCAAGGGCAGATCAGCGTACCACCAATGAAAGCAGGTGTCCTTGGAAGTGCCCATAAGTGAAAAACAAATTGTGAATGTTAGAACATCTGCTCAGCGATCTGCCACGGTGTTTGGGAACATGCCACATTTATGACTTGCTTGTGCCAATATTTAACCAACATAAATCTTGTCTAAAATGGAAAACAGTTTGGGACTTATGGGAGGGGAACAGGCAAGCTCAGAAGCAGGTGGATTAGGAACACCCAGGAGCCAAACAACAGGTGGGAATCGGTCCAGATGCCCGAGAAGAAAAGGGAGGCTCTGGAGGCAAGTAAAAATGTGACTGGGAATGTGGGATAAAGTAAGTATGGTTTTAACCAAGAGTTGGCCTTAAAGTGTGATCCCAAACCCCAGAGAATTAGTGAAAGAAACCAAGCAGAATCCAGCCTAGACCATGCAGTCCTACCTCTACTATCAGGAAATCATTTACCCCAGAAAATTAGTCCCTCGGAACATCACCATGGCTATAGCAGGAACCAAAATGGGCCTCTGATGTCAAAATAGGACTTGCACTAAAGCATCCCTTCTTCATTTAAAAACAAGCCTCCCATTCAGAGTTGGCTGTATTTTATTTTATTTTTTATTTAAATTCAGTGAGCCAGCATATAATACATCATTAGCTTCAGATGTAGACTTGTGGCTCATCAGTTGTGTGACACCCAGTGCTCGGCTCGTCACATCACATGCCCTCCTTCATGCCCGTGATCCAGTTATCCCATCCCCCCACCCACCTCCCCTCCAGCAACCCTCCATTTGTTTCCCAGAGTTAAGAGTGTCCCTCTCTGATTTCCTCCCATTCCATTTTCCCTCCCTTCCCCTCTGCACTGTTTCTTATATTCCATATATGAATGAAACCGTATGATAATTGTCTTTGTCTGACTTATTTTGCTCAGCATAATACCCTCCAGTTCTGTCCACGTCAATGTAAATGGTAAGATTTCATCCTTTTGATGGCTGAGTAATATTCCATTGTATGTATAAACCACATCTTCGGGGCGCCTGGGCAGCTCAATGGGTTAAGTCTCTGCCTTCAGCTCAGATCATGGTCTCAGGGTCTTGGGATTGAGCCCCATGTCGGGCTC